TTCTTTTCGAAGAGGGGAGCGAACTGGTGGGGAGGGGTGGGCAGGGAGAAAAGTGCGGCAATGAATGAATGGAAATCCAAAACCTCTGTAAATGTCTATTAAAATTAATAAAAAAAAGAAAAAAATGAGAACACTTCTTGTTATACACCCTAGAGATTAACGCGCATGTCCACCAGGATGTATGTACAAGAAAATTCATGTTAGCTTTGAAATAGACCAGAAACAGCCTAAATGTCCCTTGGTAGAATATATACATGAGTGGTGGTATAATCTTATTAATAGAATGTCATACTCTCATGATGTAGTGGTAAGAAACTGTGCTGCATCTCAAAGGAACAGGGTACAAATGTTCCATGGGAGAAGGATGGGCAATCTCCACCTGTGTGATATACTGCAGCTGAAAATCTGCTGGAGGGTCAGCTATGAATCGATTCCAGTTCAATGGCAAACAACTACAACAACATACTGCAGTGCAAAAGAACCAAAACCATAAACACGAGAACAGATCTGGGATCAGAGAGACCATTTACTGAGTGTTTAGTGTACCGTCTTGAAACCCTTTGGGACAGCCCTCCTCTACCCAATAGGGACAGTGTGAGTCAGAATTAACCCAAAGGAAATGCATTTGGCTTTGGAAAACCATAAAGAAAAGCAATAAAATCATTACCACTTATAGCTCGAGGAAGAGGGAAGGGCAGACAGGAGTTCCAGAAGCCAAAAATATTCTACTTCATGCTCTGGGCAATGGTTACACAAGTATTCACTTTTATAACCATTCTTTAAACTGTATAGATGTATTTCATGCACTTTGGAATATGAATACCACGTTTCACAATATGGAGGGGAAATAAACCCCAAGCCATAAAACAGGGACAAGTTAAAACAAACATTTTTCTAAGATTGTGTAAACACACTTCAGTGCAAATATAATTTCACAGGAAATGTAATTAGAGGTTATTTCATCTTTAGTAAGAAAGCTTGAAGTGACACCATACGTCATAACATTTTGGGCAGAGCATTCAATGAGGCACCAATGTGACAAATGATTAATTGGAACATTTGAAACTCCTCTTGGCGTGTCCAGATCTGGTTGCCAGTTCTGTTGTCAGAGGATTATTTTCACTTGGGGAAAATGCGTTCATAGACATCACATTTTCTAAAGTATATTTCCGTAGCAAAGTCAAATAGGGAAACTGAATAATGCAGCCACATCTGTTCATTGCACATGCAAAACGCCAGCTCGTGCACTGATTATACACACCTCTCTCCAAAGAATCCGCATTATGAGCCCACTCAGGAAAGATCATGCTGGCATCCTGCCTTTCAGGCAGAAGCCTGTCTGCACTTTAACTCGCAAGCTGAACACAAGGAATGAGATGGAGCTTCGATTATACCGCAGCTGGGCCTTTTGAGATAGGTGACATCAGCGAGAAGGAAACAAGCATGAAAAAGAGTGCATACAGATAGCAAAGCGAGCTGTCCTCCATATTCACCTTGAGTAATGCTGGTTGCAAAGACTGCTCCAGCTTTGGCTGAAGTGACATACCTGTGGGTGGCAAGGTAAGGAGCAAAGCTGCTTGTGCAATGCCAACTCTCCCACAGGGCCTGGGTTAGAAGAAATCCAGCTGGATGAGAAATAACCCAAGCATGGGAAAGACTAGACAAACTCAAGACTCCCAATCCCCAAAAGTCACCATCTACCTCTTAACCTTCTCCTCTAGGCATCATTTACTCACTGACTCTGCCATTGAGTTAAAACCAACTCATTGCTGAGCATCACCCCACATACCCATTCATCCACTCAACAGTTCCTTTTCCAAAACAGAACTCATGATTTTTCTCCATCTCCCCAACCCTGTCCTTCCCCATGTATCGTGTGTTCTGTCTCAACAAATAGTACCACCATCCCCAACTGCTGATACCAGCCACAAGACACTGCGGGTGGTAGAAAGACCATGCTGTGCTGTGAACCAGCCAATGGGAACTGCTGAGAGCCAGCTCCATGTCAACTAAGTCAGAATCACAGAATAAGGGGAATGTCAGGATTGAGAGTGGTCAGTGGCTCAGCTAGAGCAGTGCTACTAAAACTGGACTTTGGGAGGCTTCATCCAGGGTGTGGTTCAATGTAGGTTCTGACTTCGTGGGTATTGGGAGGTTCCTGCATTTCTGGCACACTCTCAAGTGATGCCATTGATGCAGGTCCCCAGACCACACCACCAGTAGCAGGAATGTAGGAGGTAGTGCTTCCCTACCTTTGCTGACTGTGTGACTCTCCAGGTCATGGATAGAAATACAACATCCAGCCTTTCTCTTTGATCGTCTACTTCAGTGAGTTGAGGATGGATCTTAGAGATTTTAGTGTTTAACCAGTGTCCTGGACAGTTAGGATGACAGAAGAGTTGATGTCCTTGAGTGGTGGTGTTGGAGAAAAGTACTGAACATCCCATGGACTGTGAAAAGAACAAATAAGTATGTCTCAGAGAGAGTACAGCTGGAGTGCACATTTTCCCTCCCCTGCCCTCCTCCAACCCACCCTGCAATGCATCCCTTGTTCCAGATTGTTCTCATACATATAATACATAATCATATCTTCCTTTCACATATTACTTTCCCTCATCTGGTCTAATGCAGTGAGACAAAAATGATCAAGTTTCACCTCATATGCTTCAGGCATGTTGCTAGGAGGGGCTATTCCTTGGAGAGGGACATGATGTTCAGAAAGTTGGAGGGTCAGGGAAGGAGAGGAAGACCCTCAACCAGGTAGATTGACATGGTGACTGCTGCCATAGGCTCTAATGTGCCAGGAAGTGTGAAAATGGCACAGGTCAGAATAGAGTTCATATCTGTTTTTTGTAAGGTCACTATGAGTTGTACTCAACTGGACAGCACTTAACAACAAGAACAACAAAGAGTCAGGCCCATGACTAAGATGCTCCTAGGTAGGGAGTTTTCGACTCTTGCAGGGGGAAAAAATCTGTTTTAACGGAACTTCCCTTTCTAGGTTTCCCCTCCAAAGGCAAAGAGATAACCTTATGTACCTGGAATATGGGAAGACAGTCTTTATGAGACTGAGCCCTTTGGAGGAAGGAACTCTAATGTGGAGTTTTTTAGGGGAGAGTTTTGTTTGTGTGATTCTTATGTCTTTATCATTTTTTTAAATGCTTTACAAAAGTAAAAAAAAAAAAGTAACACATAAAAACTTATACAGATGTATAGATAGAAAATGATTCATCCAGCCACGTCCATGGTTGTTAGCCGCCCTTTAGGCAGGTTCAACTCCTAGCGACCCAGGTATAATATAGAAAACACTGCCCAGTGCTGCAGCATCCACACCACCTCTGCTGAGCTTATAGCCATAACCGCAGCCAGTGTGTGAGTGCATCTCCCTATCCGACCTCATGCAGCTCTGATGGCTTAGTGGTAATTAGTGCTGTCAGGCCAAAGGCA